ATGGCCATACAAATTAGCCTCTACCAGGCTCCGCGGATTGCTGGAAAAATAGTAGAAATTGGCCGAAATAAAGGGATAGTATACCAGAGAAGATCCAGGGCCATAGATCTAGAAGCTCCAATTTGCGACACTGGATCTTCTCTGGTATACTATCCCTTTATTTCAGCCAATTTCTACTATTTTTCCAGCGATCCGCTGAGCCTGATAGAGGCTAATACAAATGGCTCATTGGATTGAATACCAGATTGATAAAGCAAATTTGTTCAACTTTCTATCTGAAAAGGTATATACATGTATTTACCCTTTCATCTTACATGGTAGCAAAGAATCTCTGTGCATGTGTGCATGTCTGTGTGTGTTTTTGATACACGTACTGGAGATATAATCCATCTGTACATCTAGAATTAGGATATGACAGTACTTTCTCAGGTCTTTTGGTTATTTTCCTTCAGTCTAGAAGTAGAACAAAATAATTTGAGCCAGCCTTCTCAGGAATGCATTTCATGGGTTGCGGGCTCAGGCCTACAAACCTTCTTAGGTCATTCAGCTGACCCCAATTCCCCCTATGGGTCAACCTCTGAGCGAGGGGCAACCTTTTGTTATGTTAGAGGGCCTCTGTTCGTGGAGGAATGCTGGAAAAATGATTTGAGGACACTGACTATAAGCAGTCACTACTAGACTAAGTACTTTATATCTATATAATGGCAAGTTTAATTCATGCAACTTAATCCTTGTATCATTTTATCAGACTTTGATAGAAGAATCTACATGTTCAATATCCTTAACAAAGGTGCATGGAGTCATATCAAGCCTTCAAAAGCAAGCCTAGATTATAGTAGATACCAGCCACCAATGCAACACAATCTCCCTTGAGATGCCATATGCTTCAATTCCCAAGACTGAGAGCTGAGAGTTCTACACCACCATTGTTGGACAAGATCACTAAAAAGAGATAATTCTACATTTTTGTATACATATACAAGTGCTGAGGTCTTTCTGTATGACCTATAAATGTAATTCTGTCAACTTGGGGGTTGCTTGACTGGGTGTCACAGCTGGGTTTGGTAGGGTAGCCTGACTCCTGCTGCTGGGAGAAGCTCCAATGAGGGTTAGTGTTACACAGGGACAGGACACCTGTCATCAAGGTACTTAGCAGGCACATACATACCATGCATGTACATGTGTGCCAGATTTGATAGGAGCCCTGGTGTGACTAATGAAGATTTCTAGTAGGAGTGTGGGCCAGCCCTAAGGATTTGTTTGTTTGTTTTAACAATCATGTGGGTGGGACCATAACTAATCAATGCTCAGGCCAGTAGCAATCTAAGATTTGTAAGCACCCACAAGGGTCGAATCCAATACACAAGCATCAGCCCAGAGTGTATACTTTCTAAGTACACTTAGGTACACTCTGGATGTACAATGTATCTAAACATATCAAGATTCCCTTTCTTTACTGCTACAGAATATTCACCCCTATCAGTCAATCAACTGCGCATTTACTAGGTATAGCTGGAATATCTCAAGGACGTGCAGCAGGATTACTTTTGATTCGGATCAGAGGAAATCAGTTTTGTAGCAATGTATTCTAGCGGAAAACAGTGTCCATAGCCACCACAGAGTACATTGTCTCTCCCATCGCCTCTTCTCTTGCATCCCTACATTTGGTGGGGAGCAGCCGGACCTCTCGCAACCCGCATTGTTTTATCATGCCTCCTGAATCGCCCGGCGATGAATCCACCTGCCTGATCGCTGCTCAAGCTGCGCTACCATGCCTACAACCGCCTGCCTCGCCCACCTGCTGCTGCAAATTGACCCCGATCGTCGACATGCTGCAACAACAAAGCCAGCTTGCCGGCCAACTACTTCTGCCATGTACCCAGTCATCTCTGGCCGCCATCACTGAGCACCGAGCACAACATCACGCCACGTGTACAAGAACTCAAGCTTCAGTCTGACAATGACCATCAGCATGAAATATTGTGACCTGAATAACCTGAAAGTACTTGTGCCTGAATTGTGTGTGCCATCTGTAAACTCTTTTATGCTTTTGGAAGGTACTTGGCAGAATGTCCCGTCTTGTATGCTTTTGCAGCACAGAGATAGCAAACACATACAATGTAGGATGTAGGACGAGTGTGAGTCCACTCTCTAACATCATAAAATAAATAAGGCATCGCAAATTCCTTCATATTTTGCATTTGGATGGAGAATTCTGCATTTGGGTTGCAGAATTCTGTACCTGAATGCAGAATTCTGAATCCGAATGCTGACCTAGTCCCAGGGGACCTACAGTGTATCAATGATACCTACGCAACTTTCAGCGAGTAATATAATAAATGTCTTAATGGTGAAAGGTCGTCCGGAATTAGAGTCAGTCCGGAATTAAAGTGATGTCTGTTTGTAGTATATGTAGTTTGCACATAGTATATGCACCTATGTACACTTTGCACATAGCTGTGTGCACTTTGCACATAGTGTGTGCACTTTGCACATAGTGTGTGCACTTTGCACATAGGTGTGTGCACTTTGCACATAGGTGTGTGCACTTTGCACATAGGTATGTGCACTTTGCACATAGGTGTGTGCATTTTGCACATAGTGTATGGAGAATTTCTCCTTTTAGTTGGGAATGTGTTATATAAATGCATTTACAGTCACTGTATATAATAAGTTTATTGCAAATTCCTACCCGAAGGCTAATTGCAAATAACAAAGATAAAAGAACATTGAGACAGGGTACAAAATAACTTCAAAATCTACACAATAACACAAGGTAATTGTCTAAAACTATAGCTATGTGTAGAACTATGTCTGAAGGGTTTGACTTCTCTCTTGTAAAACAGGGAAGATGTATTACCGTAAATCTTTCCTCCAGTGGTCCNCCCAATGACTGGGCTGCTCGTACATGTGGTGGCAAGGAATTCCACACAGTCGCCCCCGAGTACCTCAGTGACCGCCTGTACACTTCCAGTTGGGGCCTCGGTATGATGAGTTTGTCCAATGTGCTTTGTCTGGTGGATCTGGAGGCTTCATCTCTATACCGGATGAACACCCCTCGCATATGTGGTGGTAAAGAATTGTCCAAGGCCCTATACACTAGCATGGCTTTATGTTGACGGTGTAGAGTTCTCACGGACATCCATCCCAGACGAGAGAGGACTTCCCGTGATGGTGTTCTGTACGGGGCTTTCAAGATCAATTTTCCTACTCGGTTCTGCATTCTTTGCATCTTATCATATTGTACCGAAATGGCACCATCCCAGACAGTACAGGCATAAGTTAAGTGCGGTAAAAATATGGTGTTATACAAGGTGACAAGTGCAGATTGTGTGACAAAAGGTTGGACCTGACGCATTATTACAAGCGCGCGCTTTAGTTTAGACAGAACATGAATAACATGAAAATCCCATTTCAGTTCGCTGTCAACAATTACACCAAGGTATTTAAAAGCCTTAGTGGTGCAGGTAAAATTTGTTTGGTGCAGGTACTAGTAATTTAATTTACATGTTAACGGGGGGTGCCCTAATTCCGACCTACCCCTAATTCCATACTAGTTTGAAAAATCATTGTCGCCGCACTATGCATGGGAGCACGTGCCTATAAATACCCACAGGAATGGACAAAGTTTCTGTGTTGATATCGGTAATCCCACAATGTTTGGTCCAGTTCGCACGCTCCGACAACAGACGAGTGAAAAATATGTCGGGGTTGACGAGCATGTCAAAAAACGCAGCTTTGGTTTTGAAACAGCAGCTTTGGGGCAAGTCGCGTAATCGTAAAAAGAAAACTTGTTTGGGACAGAAAAATAGTTGTAGATTGTTTTAGTCATAATTTGTGTATTTTAAATACTAAACTTTCTCCTCAGATTAATCTTTGTTAAATACTAGGTCGGAATTAGGGCACTCCTTTTGTGATAGAACGTTCCACTGGCAACATGGTGAAAAACCTGCCGTAAGTTTCGTGAACTATTACGCTTGGGTGCAAGGTGCTACACTGAAGTGAAATACACAGCTGTGCAGCTTTAATCATTGTAACAGTAATTTTTATCTGTAAATATTAAAGTTCGTGTTGCACGGGTTTGTGGTGAGACAAACTACAGTATTACCAAAGGTACGTGCATTTGCATGGAACATACAGTAGGTCGGAATTAGGACCCCTCCCGTTACCTGCACCAGTGCAGGTATAAAAGAAAGTATTTCGAGCCCTGAAAATATTAGCACAAAAAAAACTGTTGCTTACTGCAGCAGCATGTTAACACACACTTAACCATTCTAAAAGAGCTAGAAATATATGGAATGATCATTGATATACATGTACATGTATGTCTTACCTTCACACCTCATGGAGCGGGTGTTCAGCTGATAGCCATCGCTACACTCACACATGAAGCTCCCGGGGGTGTTGCGGCAGATGCCATATTGACAGTTGAGATTGTCCACAACACACTCATCGATATCTGTCAAATAATAGAGGAATGAAATAATGGTCATCTTTCTTGTGTATCTGAGCATGCCCTAAAAAGGAAATTGATTCAATCCTATCCCATAGTGTACTGATATCTGTGAGGCAAAAATGTGATGTTGCTGAAGGAAAAGGTTGCTTATTTTGTATGTAGGCTGGTTCTAGTTATTTATGGGTGGTACCCAAAAAATAAAGGGACTTCTCACATAGCTTGTTTTGGAGTCATTTCAAAGTATGAAATGATGGTGAAAATGTGTTAAGAAATGGCAGTAAATGTCAATATCAGACATTTCCTCATCATCCAGGCTATTCTTTGTTTTGAAACCCTGAAATTGCATTGGATGCTTTAAATGAACATCACTTCAGGCATGTGGTCTAACTTAGTAAGGATACATGTATTGAACTCTATCTAATTTCTATCTACATCATATGTAGACTTCAACGGTCAAGCTCTAATCATGTTGATTACCGACACAAAGAATTTTCATGCTGATCTAAGTACATTTTATTAGAAATTGAGACGGATTACTATTATACTGATACCTGTACAGATGTGCCCAGTAGGATCAGCTTCAAAGCCCACGTTACATCTACACGTGTAGCCTCCATTCTCATTCAGGCAGGCTCCATTTTGGCACAGGAAGGGGCTCATCAGGCACTCGTCAATGTCTGTGAGGGGAAGCAGCAATAATGGAATCTTTAACTCACACACCATTTAATCACTATACTGTATACAGAGTTTCTGAGGAGGGCCATTCAGTCCTTTCAGAACACAGTCATGTTGATTTGATCATATGGATGACAATATCTAACATCCGTGTCCATAATATCACCAGGGTCCATAATATCGCCAGCTTGAGAAAAAAGTGTGCTATTTTTTGCCTTAAAGATATTTTTACTGCAACATACCCTAGGTATGTACATTTGAGGTGTGCAGGAGTGCATACCAAAAGTATGTTGCAGTAAAAATATCTTAAAGCACACTATTTCTCAAGGTGGCAATATTATGGACCCTGGTGATATTATGGACACGGATGTTAAGTGCGCATGAATTTTTTTGTTCGTTATTAAAAAAAAAATTGAAAAGAAAAATACAGTATTGGAAAACGACACTGTCATACATGTAGAATGCCATTATAACCAGTCCAAAGGAAAAGAAGAAAATGTGAAGAAATATTATTAAGTATTATTTCATCAAACCATATCATTGAGAACCGATTGTCGACTGTCATAGCAGAATAAACACTGCAATTTCTAAGAAGAGTTGGCAGTCAGACTGGACTGAAGCAGTAGACAAAAATGCAGATTTAAGCTACAGAAAAACTAAGGCGAAACAGACATTGGGAGTGATTAAACGTAATCTGTGGGCATGTCCAACGAGAGTAAAATCACTTGCATACACGTCACTTGTAAGACCGAACCTAGAATACGCTGCGACAGTATGGGATCCATATACAAAGAAAGACAAAGACAAATTGGAAAGGGTACAGAATCAAGCTGCAAGATTCTGTATGAACAACTATGTAAGAGGTGCTAGTGTCACGGAAATGAAAAGGAACCTACAGTGGACCTCACTTGAAGACAGAAGAAAGATGTCTAGACTATGCATGATGTACAAAATTACTAATAAACTGGTGGATGTCCCAACTACTAAGTATCTAATACCAGCCCAGAAGAGAACAAGAAATAGCCACGCATTCAAGTACTAACCGAGTTATCAACCAAGGATTGAGGTGTTCAAGAATTCATTCTTTCCTAGAACTATCGCAGAGTGGAACTCACTGTCACCAAGTACAGTAGGGGCACTGTCAATAGATAGCTTTAAACAATGTCTAGAGCTAGAAGTTCAAGGGTTAGGTGTAACAAGTCGATCGGTGTAATATAGCCAGCTGCCGCCGCGCCGCGTGCCTGCGAAGCTGGTGTGTTACGCCGAAAGGCGGTTATACCGGCTATACAGATACAGATACAGAAGAAGATACTGCTGCAATGTAGATATTCTAATCCCAAAGACAGGCACATGTGTGTGTCTTAATGATATATGTGTGTGTCTTGATGATACTAGTATACAACAGGTTAAGCCAGAACATCAATTTTGAATTAAGTTCCACAGTTCAATATGTGAGAGGTGAAGCATCTACATGTACATTGTACATTATGTATACTGTAGAACTTGACACTCAACTTGTGCTTGCACATCTCAAACAAATGAGGCCCTGTTGATTTGATTATATGGACGACATCCTCTGGGAACTCCAAAACCGATGCGAGTGTGTGAATAAAAAAAGTTTGGCGACAAAAAAAACAAAAAAAAAGTTTCCTGCATTATGAAATCTAGGTGGTCATGACAGTTAAACTGATGACTTTAAAACACACAGCATATGGTATGGAGGATAATAAACTCTCCATTTTCATTTCTTTCCATTTTTTTCCCTTTCCTTTGGAACTGATTTCGGCACTCTACAACTAGTATCATTTTCCAATATATCTGTACAATTTACAGCATATTATTTGCACAGATTGCAGCTGCTTTGTACGATTTACAATACAGGTTAATGGTCAACAACTTTTTTTGGAAACGAATGAAAATTCATGCACGCCAGATGTCATCCACATAATCAAATCAACATGGCCTAACAGGTATTACATACCACTTTTTAAAGATGACATGTCATCAAATAAATTGGATGATAATAGGTAGAGCTACACTACGTGATTGTATAATGTATAACAACTAACCTATTCCTTCATGGTCCTTGCCATTTCCATTAACACACAGTGTCTTGTGCTCCTCTGTAAGACAGTGAAAGAAAAATTGAATCTTGTGAGTAACTTTTCAAGTATAGAGCTTATTCACCACACGTCATCATGACGTCACCACCCCTCATGTCCCGTGCGACGCCATATTGGGGTGCATCTCTACAGCAAGTTTCCAAGCGTTGAAATGGCCGACAAACGTTAGATAAACTGTCCTTTGTCCAATTACACGAAGAGTTTACCACCACTCATACATGTACCTCTCCTTACATACCAAGTTCATTCAAAACATGGATTATAAAAAAATGTTTGAATGAGAAAACCCAATGCATCTTTGATTTGCCAAAAAACAGTTACTGTATTCAAGCAACTGGATATGATTTTGGAAACAGTCATCCAGCCGCTTGAGCAACTGTTTTTGGCATATCTTACAACCATCAACGACATCTTTGAATTAACATAACTGTACTAATATGAGGTTCAATAACAAATAGCTCATACAATCATGTAACATTGCATCACAATCTTACAGTTCACCTTAAATAAAGGCAATACATACATTGTCGCCTTTAGTCATCTTTTTCAGAGGTGATATCATGCTTTTGATAAATGTATTTTACAACATCCAATGGAAAAACATGCTAGACAGTAGTTGTCCCATGGGTAGCTTACCACTTCCCACTTGTGGACATGCCTCGCAGGGTTCTCCCCAGCCCAGTCCCTTGCCCTTGGACATCATGGCAGTGGCACAGCAACAGGTGGACCTTGTAACTCGCATGTCAATGGGGTCGACACACAGGCCACTGCTTGATACGTCCTGATAACACACTCCTAACAGAGTATCTGGAAGAAAAGACAGCTTTCATTTAGAAAAATGCTGACCTAAAAATCCTTGGGAATCAGGGAAGATAGATGATGGTGAGAGATGGTGAGAGATGGCGAGGACTAGTGAAACTACAGTACTGTCATCGTTGTTCAAATGGGAGGCTCCACCTACACTGAGTGTACGCACTACTCGGTCAGAGTTAAAACGGCCACGGGACTATGACCCCCACCTACTCTCCTGTCTACCAGCAACAGTCACTTCATACAGGAACAGCTTACAGTACTATGGACCTTACCTCTGGAACTCACTCCCCCTACAACAACGACAGCAGCCTAGTCTCAGAACTTTTAAACAGTTTTTATCAATTTGAAATTGTATCTAAGATTAGTTTTATCTATGTGCTATTTTTAGACTTTTGGATGTATTGTGAATCTGTTCAACTGTTAGGTGTTTGTCTGTGCTTTTGTACCAGGATTTCCTAAAAAACAGGGCAGAGTGGCCTGAGTGTGATACCTGGTTGAACAAATAAAGTTAAAGTTAAAGTTAAAGTACTGTTGTAGTCATCTCTACACTCCATGTGAGAAAATGAGATGAGATGAGTAAGATGAATGAGTGAGAGTGAGTGAGTGAGTGGGTGTGAGATGAGTGAGATGAGTGAGATGAGATGAGTGAGTGAGATGAGTGAGTGAGTGAGTGAGTCAGTGAGATGAGTGAGATGAGATGAGTCAGTCACGAGTGAGTGAGATGAGTGAGTGAGTGAGATGAGTGAGTGAGATGAGTGAGTGAGTGAGTGAGATGAGTGTGAGTGAGTGAGTGAGTAGGTGAGTGAGTGAATGAGTGAGAGAGAGAGAGAGAGAGAGTGGGCATCAGCTGCATGACAGCTGCATGACAGACAAATATTACTATAAACCATAATGTGAAAAGCTTGTTTACATATTGAAAAGGCTAATAAAAATATGGAAGAGCTTCATAGTATAATGCAAGTTGGAGCACCTTTACATATTCTTCCGGTGATGTCGATGGTCAGCCCAGATGGACACTCACAGCGGAAGGAACCCTGGTTGTTGATGCACGTTCCCATCTTGCACATGTTGGGCCTCTCATCACATTCATCAATATCTGATTAGAAAATCACACAGTTGATTGGAAGAGCATGTAATATAATTGTCCCAACACCAAGATGTCATTAGAATTGACTTACTTAATACCCATACAATTGATTTAAAAGAAATACATTAAGAATTCTAAACTGTCTGGTTTGATTTTTCAAAATCTATCAAATTTTGTACAGCATTAGCAGCTGGACTGCCAATGGTAGACAGGACAATGTCAGAGTTTTGTGCTAAGGAAAGCTAACTTCACATTTGAACTGTCTATCTCTAATAGTGACTGTAGCCCCTGGAAGTTCTCCTACATGTAACATCCGTGTCCATAATATCACCAGGGTCCATAATATCGCCACCTTGAGAAACAGTGTGCTTAAAGATATTTTTACTGCGACATACTTTTGGTATGCACTCCTGCACACCTCAAATGTACATACCTAGGGTATGTTGCAGTAAAAATATCTTTAAGCACACTTTTTCTAGAGGTCAGGCGATATTATGGACTATGGTGATATTATGGACACAGACATTACATGTACATGTTATGTCTGACAGTGTGAGTGACAATGAGTCAGGGATCACCAGTCTTGTGTTGGGATTTTGACTGGTGTGTCCCCAGGGCCATGTACCTCACCTGTTCAGGAATGAGGCCATTGATAAAAATTAAGCAGGTGTAGTCTTCACCGGACTTCCTTGGAGGCTGAATAAATGGTAGAAATCAGCCTAAAAAGGAATGTAACTGGCCAGGGGAGTTAGTTGGTCATATAGGGGGTCCAATTTGCCTGCACGGCCGACTAATTCCCCTGGCCAGCTACATTCCTTTTCAGGCAAATTTCTTTTATTTGTTCAGCCTGCAAAGGAGTCTAATGGAGACTATAGCTGGGGCTGGTGTTGTAACACATCTGGTGAAGAATGTCTCATCTACTAAGTATATTTCCGCACCAGACTAAAAAGCATAGATTAGGCCACACCAATTTAATTTCTTGGTTAACGGATTCGCCCGCTTCATTTTTTTCTGATTTGCAAAAAAAAATAAAAATTCATAATCAACTACAAAATGCTCATATTTTGCCCTGAACAGTTGAAAACAGTCCTTTTCATCCTAGTTATGGGTTCACCACACCACGAAGTGGTGGTGAACCCATATTGCTTTTTCTGATGTTTCTTCTTCTCCTCCTCCTCCTTCTCCTGCCATTTTTTAAATGGATTCAGCTTCTTCATTTTAGGGCCTAAGGTCCTGAAATTTGGTATGGAGGTACAGTGGGCAAATACCCCTAGGCGTTTTTTAAATTATTGTGATACGGGCTTTTAGTAATGGTTTTATTTGAGTTTTTTGGCTGTGTTATAGCAAATGTATTACTGTGTTAGTGTGCCGTGTTTACCACGTCTGGGCATGAGTCATCACAATGGAATGCAGGGCATCAACCAATAGGCATGCAGCTTTCCTCTATACTTCTTGCTGATTGGCTGTTGGGATTTAACTTGATTAACACCTGCACAGAGCATTTCCACCTGCACAGAGCATTTCTTGCTGATTGGCTGTTGGGATTTAACTTGATTAACACCTGCACAGAGCATTTCCATACTGACAGTATGTCTTTATTCAAGTGTTTTGGTAGGTATTTCAAGCTTTTCTGCTCCAGCATTGGAATGCGGGGCATGAACGTTTTTTTCTTATTTTGAAAATCAACAGTTTGCATTATGCAATTAAAAATCCTAACCAATAAAGTAGGGAATAGCTATCCAACTGTTGTTTTAGTTGTATGTTACTTCACATTATAGTTATATCAATGTAAATCATTGTTTTCCCTTGTGTTCCTCATTCTTTCCCTGCCATGTCGTAAAATGTGGTGAACCCATCGCTGTATTTGCTCCAAAGCAAATATTGGCCTTTCTAGTTGTTACAGTTATTCAATCTTTCAATGCAATCGTATCATTAAAAGTTCAAAATTCATTACGTCGATGAAGGTTAGACATCCAGGTAATACGATACGCCAAAAAGCAGTTACTCAAGCAACTGGATATGATTTTGAAAACGTCAGACGTTTCAGCTAGTATCCACTAGCTTTCGTCATGTGACTCTGTGACGTTTTCAAAATCATATCCAGTTGCTTGAGTAACTGCTTTTTGGCGTTTCAAAATTCATTGCTTAAATTTTGAACCAGCCTGGTGTATTGACTTCATGGCTCCTATCGTACCATTTTGGGCCATAATATAATGCCTAGGCCTGTTTTTATTTTAATTTTTTCCCCCGCCCGCTCCATTACTTTTCTAGAAAAATCCATTAACCAAGAAATTAAATTGGTGTGGCCTTAGGTGATGTTTACCCAAGCAGAGTTGTCCTGATGGTGCCAGCTTGTAGCCAGGGTTGCAGACACACTTGTAGCTGCCGTCCATGTTGACACAGACACCATTGGAGCACATTCCACTTTTTTCACACTCATTCATATCTGCAACATGACGAATGGATTATTTGTAGTAAAGAATCCAAACATTGTTGCAAACATAGCAGCAAGAATGGCTGAATTGTGTTGTGACATGACAATTAACAAATTTGGATTGAGAAATATGCATATGTAAAACACAGTCACTACAGAGTAAAAACAACCTATCCAAAATTTGCCAGTTTATCAAAGAAGAAGAAGAGTACAACAAAGTAAAAAAAACCCTTATGAGGACAACAATTAGGGCCAATTGTCAGGCAATACAAATATAGTATCAGGTGCAATATAATAACTCACTGTGGTTCAGGAGTGGTATCATGTAAGTTAAGGCACTTTTCATGTATCATCCAATAAGGCCATACCGAGGGTAACATCTGTGTCCATAATATCACCAGGGTCCATAATATTGCCACCATGAGAAACAGTGTGCTTAAAGATATTTTTACTGCAACATACTTTTGGTATGCACTCCTTCACACCTCAAATGTACATACCTAGGGTATGTTGCAGTAAAAATATCTTTAAGCACACTATTTCTCAAGGTGGCAATATTATACATTGTAGACCCTGGTGATATTATGGACACAGATGTTACAGTTTACATGTACATGCATGTGATGACATAACAAGAGGGTCAAGAGTCGCAGGTATTGTACACTAGGGAATTGTTAAACTTCATACTCGTTACACAATACGAATTATCATAAAAAAATATAAGCATAAGTCAATATGACGCCTGTCCATGGTACTGAAACATCGGTGTTCTGAAACCTGAGTACTTCCACTGGGTGTGACATTGTTTTGTACACATGTATATCCTACAATACTGTTTAACAATACCTTTATACCCAAATTTTAAAATGACGTTGTCAAATTCCAAGAGTAACAATTCTTCAACTGGAACCTTAAACTGAAACCAGAGTACTTCCAGTGGGTGTGACATTGTTTTGTACACAATACTGTTTAACGATACCTTAATACCCAAATTTTAAAATAGCATTGTCAAATATCCAAGGGTAACAATTCTTCAACTGGAACCTTAAACTGAAACCTGAGTATTTCCAGGTGGTGTCACATTGTTTTGTCACATTCAATTCCTAGAGCAATAATTCTTAAACTTTAAACAATAGAATATTTCCTTACTGTCAATAGACTTGACAGTAAGGACAGCAAATAATTCACATCATTTGCATTGGTCAGCTCCTTCACAGTCTTGAATCAGTCCTTAAATTCTTCATTTCAATTCACCCATTACACCCAAGTATTTCAGAGGGAGCTGTATGAAGATCACTTCTTTAGCCAAAGTAAATTTACTCCTTCACGGTATCTCTACAAAGGTGTATATGTACAGATACATGTCAACAGCTTGTAACACCCCTGTAGACATTCACACTTTCATCCCAGGCCTGTACATCCTGTGTAGTGGGGCAGATAACTGAAATAATCTTTCAAATTGTGATACAAGCACCAAACTTGGTCCAAATACTCATGAGACATTACTCTTTTGAAAAAGTACGCGGGCCACTTGATTTGACTTTTGGCGCTCCCTAGCGGCGCTTTTTGGTACTGCAGCCGACCTTCTGAAGCAAAAAAAGCACCCTTGAAGCAGATTGTGCACCAGCAAAAAAACGCCTTTGCAGTTCCAACGCAAGCAACTAAAGACACCAAATTTACGTCACTTCTTCCTTACTTTACTTTTAACAGCTTTCTACCACATAAAAATCATGACTGTAGCATGTTTAGAACAGGAGATACAAAGCCCGGAAGGTCGGCTGCAGTACCAAAAAGCGCCGCTAGGGAGCGCCAAAAGTCAAATCAAGTGGCCCGCGTACTTTTTCAAAAGAGTAATGTCTCATGAGTATTTGTACCAAGTTTGGTGCTTGTATCACAATTTGAAAGATTCCTCCAAAATTTGATGTTATCTGCTCCACTAGTGTGCAAGAAATTTCACCTTACCGACACAGAAGGCCCCATCAGGAGACAAGTTGTAGCCCGAGTCACACAGGCACTGGAAACTGCCCTGCGAGTTGATGCAGCGACCGTTGGAACACACGCGGCCGTTCTCAAAACACTCGTTTACATCTGCGAGAAAGGTACACATAATGTTATGTCAATATCTCAATCCTCTTATATATAAGACCTTCTAATTGTGATCTGAAGCTCTGCATGGATGCATATAATTGAGCAACCAGTGCACACAGCTGCAAAAGCTGTACAGGACTTTAAAATATTAAACAACTTGAGAAACAAAAGTCCAAAATTAAACTAAGGCCACACCAATTTGATTTCTTGGTTAACGGATTTTTCTAGAAAAATAATGGAGCGGGCGGGCGAAAAAAACTAAAACTAAAAACAGGCCTAGGCATCCTATTATGGCCCAAAATGGTACGATAGGAGCCATGAAGTCAACACACCAGGCTGGTTCAAAATTTAAACAATGAATTTTGAACTTTTAATGATACCATTGCATTGAAAGATGAAATAACTGTAACAACTAGGATGAAAAGGACTGTTTTCAACTGTTAAGGGCAAAATATGAGCATCTTGCAGTTGATTCTGAATTTTTATTTTTATTTGCAAATCAGAAAAAAATGAAGCGGGCGAATCCGTTAACCAAGAAATTGGTGTGGCCTAACATCATAATAATATTTTGTGCATGCATTAGGATATTTTTAACTAGCTAATATAGTATTCATCAGTTGCTAAGATGAGTAAATAATATAACCCCATAGTTCAATCAGATGTTATGTACACTATAATTACCTTCGCCAAGAAGGTTATGTTTTCAGTAGCGTTTGTCTGTGTGTGTGTATGTGGGTTTGTGTGTGTGTGGTTTAGCAAGATAACTCGAGAAGCGGTGGATGGATTGGAATGAAACTTGGTAGGTGGGTAGGACTTCATGAGACCTAGAAGTGATTAGATTTTGGGCCCCCTGGTGGCTTTCCTAGGTACTGCAGCTGAACTTCCGGTTTTGATATCTCATGTTCTGGACATGCTAGGGTCACGAATTTTGGTTGGTACATAGCTCTTGGGGTAGGGAAGAAGTGACATGAGTTTGGGTCCCCTAGCGCCTTGTTCTGGAACTGCAGGAGCATTTGTTGAAAAAAATTTGAAGGACGATAACTCAAGAACCGGTTGACGTATTGTCGTGATTTTTGGTATGTAGGTAGTTGAAGTGATGCTTGACATAATTAGATGGCAATTATGCAAATCAGGAGCTAATTTGCATAATTAATGAGGAAATTCTATAAATCTGCTTTGTTCGATAATAGAACTATGAAACAGTTGTGACATCTACTTGAGAACGAGAAAAACATCTGAGGATATAGATTATGTAAATGAGGACCTAATTTGCATAATTAATGGCAAATTTTTATAATTCCATAGTTGTAACTGCTGCACCCCGAATTTCATACTTGCCACATTTGGAAGTTAAGTGAAGGTGAACATCAATAAACATAATTTATTCAAATCATGACCTCATTTGCATAATTTATGAGGAAGTGCTATAATAGCCTTTTTGTTATGATAAGGCTGTCATTGGATGGAGAATATGATCAACTGATGCCCATGCAAATGAGGCGCTTATTTACAAAATCAATGATTAAAATTGTAGAATTCTTCACCCGCAAGGGTTAACATCTTTTGGCGAAGGTATGAGATCGTGGAACTCTTGTTCCTTATTTCTTTTGTGGTACTTTTATTTTCATAGTTTTTGCAGTCACTTCTGTACTGTGAACTTATCATTACCATATGAATAAATAATTCACCGACTTGTTTTCTGCACCCTCCGCCATCGTTCCATGATACGACGATGAAGGTTAGACATCCAGGTAAAAAGATAATATTATGCCAAAAAACAGTTCTTCAAGCAACTGGATATTTGGTCAGACGTTTCAGGTAGCATCCACTACCTTTTGTCAGTGACACTAAGAGACTGTAGGAGAAATGCAGGTTTATAAGCACGAACTATTGATTGATATGCAAATAAAGGAAGACAAATTTTTTGGAAGTCCAAACAGAAACAAAAGTTAGGCAAGTCAAGACAATAGTTCTATGAACACCTCCATTTTTCTCAGGCTGCAAACTTTTGCTTCCGTGAACATAAAGTGAATTACAGTATTTCAAAAACACACTTTGACTATATCAAGAGGCAGTCTGCTTCTTCAAAAATAAGCAAACAGGTGCCAAAGTGTCCTCTTTTCAGATCAAGAAGCCCATGCAGCAAAGGAAGAATGAAGCTGAAACATTGGTGGATTGTCTGGAAAGCATCCTGTCAGAGACTGATGCCTCCCAGAGGCAGATTGTTTATGCAACCCTGCAGGAGAACTTTTAACCTTACAGAAGCCACACCCTCTGTGGAATTCTTCTCTTGATCCTAGATCTTTAACCTGCCTCAAGTCTCACATGTTTTCTGTCTCCCCATGCATACCCGAGTTTTGGCTCTCTGAAGATCTAGAGTGCATACTTTGGATATCTTATCCAAGATGATTTGAATAGCAGTTTGGCTATATTATACAACATGTAGAGGTAGTCCCTTGTGCAGCAGGTTGACTGTACATTGTCAAGTAAAACTGCCGAAGTCTGTAAAATGATACAGATTCAATGTGGCTTCCATTTTACAGTGTGTCCACATATTGTTCATGATCTTTGCAACATGAAAAACGCCGCGTCTTAACTCTTTATGTACAGCAGTTTGATATATCTCCTGTGAAGGTTCCATACAATATTTGGACATTCCACTAAATTTTGTGCTGTATAATGGAGCTTACTGCAAGTACCACTGTACATATTTCATCACTGATGTCAAGAATCATGGCGTAAGCAATATAATTACTAGTATACCGCTATTCATCCCCTGGCTGTCAGATATTTCTACATGTTATCATATTAATATACAATTTATGATATTCTGTTTGTCTGTAAACTTGCAAATATCCAAGATGATTGAACAGCAGTTTGCATCTGGTTTTAGTAAATATTATGCATTTCAATCAATTCAAGTAAATCTGTATTTTGCTTTCTGAGATAAAAATGTCTTTGGCATCCATGAACCAATCTTCCTCCTGATGAAGCACTGGGAGATTATTGGGTTGACGGGGTTATTTTAATCTTCAACTGCAAATTACATGTAAGCACAAGGAAACTTGGCAAGAACATCTGCCTTCTGTCTCTACTGAGTAACTATCACCTCCATTGAAAGCCTTCAGGAGTAAGGGTTATGTCAAAGCCTGATCCCGGGTCCTGTCGGACCTATAATGTAACTCAGCTGCCATGGATGGGCTCTAAATCTTTTGCTACCTTATCTTGTGTTTATTTGTTGGAAGTGACACCTTGCTACATTTCTTGGCAGTTAAGTCTCCAACAAGCCACAGCCAGAAAGAGAACTCTTTCACCTCTAACCACAATGACAAGCTGCCAGACACACAGTACAGCTACAAATGACCCCCAGCACAGGGAGGGAATAACTTTGTTCAACAAGTACTGATGCCAAAATCAGGGCAAACATTCCTGTGTCCTCTGGACTAAAGAAGGAGGAACTCAGGAGATTAATTCTTCTTGTGAAGACAGCCTGATGAGGGCATGCATGGGGGGGTCCCGACGATGCTCTACGCTGAATTCGGAAACCTCTCGATACGCATTATGATAAATTCCAAGTAGCTACAATGCATTACGTAGAATTAAAACGCCGAATACGCTCTACGCAAAATGCGCCAATTACGCTCTACGTTGAATTAGAGAGGTCCGTCTACACTCTACGTAGAATATTAAAACGGCCGATTACGCTCTAAGGAAAAGGGCTTGCGGGCTCCCCCTGATGAGAGCCTGCATGCCCTATTTCATAAGGTGTAACCAGATTTGTTCGTAATCCATAGGCAGTCACCCAAAATCAAGTCAATTCGTAATCAGTATATTAGCCATTACAAGTAATTAGTTCTTTCGTTCTACGTAAAGCTTATAGGCTTTACCTTTATGGGGGCCTGCAAGGGGGGGTCCCGACAACGCTCTATGCTGAATTCGGAAACTTCTTGATTACGCTTTACGATAAATTCCACGTGGCCACAACGCATTACGTAGAATTAAAACGGCGAATACGCCCTACGCAAAATGCGCCGAGCGGTACGTCTACGCTCTACGTAGAGTTAAAATGGCCGATTACGCTCTACGGAAAAGGGGTTGCGGGCCCCCCTTTATGCAACGTATAACGTACTCCAAATAGCACTCCATTATGTAACAAAATTCGTAATCAGCTCTGAAAATTTTGCCTAATTCGTAATGACTACCTCCCCCATGCACGCCCTCTCTGATGTTTGTCTTCAATGCAGAGTAATAGCAAGTTCTTTAAACTTCTTTTACTCTTAAAGTTTGCCTTTTTCTACTCTTCTGACACTTTTCCAACATTGAATTTTCCTCAACTACTGATGACAGCACAAAATGTTAGTCTAGCATGACTGTTTGTTGTGGGCTTGAATTTTGGCTAAAGACATAAAAGTAATATACTGTATAACTTTGTGGTAGCAAAAGTACACGGCCTGAGAAAAATGGACATGTTCTCAGAACTATATGTTGCCGGTGGCAGCAGGTGCAGAAAAAAGAAAGTCGGCAAATGATTTGTTCACGGTAATGACATCTTAGCGGTACAGTAGTGTCCACAAAAACCATGAAGTTACATTAAACTATCATGAAAAAGTCGCAATATTTACAGTCAAATATTTCTTCCATTAGGCCACACCAATTTAATTTCTTAGTTAACGGATTTGCCCCCTTCATTTTTTTCTCATTTGCAAATAAAAATAAAAATTCAGAATCAACTGCAAAATCCTCAAATTTTGCCCTGAATAGTTGAAAACAGTCCTTTTCTTCCTAGTTGTTACAGTTATTCTATCTTTCAATGCAATGGTATCATTAAAAGTTCAAAATTCATTGTTTCAATTTTGAACCAGCCTGGTGTGTTGACTTCATGGCTCCTATTGTACCATTTGGGAATAGGATGCCTAGGCCTGTTTTTTTTTTTTCGCCCACCCGCTCCATTATTTTTCTAGAAAAATCCATTAACCAAGAAATTAAATTGGTGTGGCCTTAGTTGACAGAAGTATTAGATTCCACCTAATTAATAAATTCAAAGTATTTGACTCACCAAGGCAAGACAGTTGGTTTGGCGCAGGTTTCCATCCCTTGTCACAGGTGCACTGGTACGAGCCCAGTGTGTTGGTACATGAGCCGTGGGCACAAAGGTTGCTGCGAGAACACTCATTGATATCTGCAGCACAAAGTATAGTATGTGAGTCCCAAAGTCACGTGTCATGCCATACCAAGCAACATTGTCAATCAACTACGCTGTATGCACTTCCGTTTGTCTATGATCAAGTATGTGACATTATGTGTTATTTAATTATAGTATAGATTTGATAGGATTTAATAACTTTTGGTACATACACACATATTAAGCCATAGGCACACAGGTTGCTGACAGAACACTCATTGATATCTGTAGCACAAAGTTGGGTACATGTATTTATGTCCTACCCGGGCCGCGATTTCATTCGATACGGGTGTTCCAGCCCGTGTGATAACTAGCGGTACGGCCCGGGGGTTCTTAATGCGTACGGCCCGGGCCTTCCAAATGTTCCATAGAATAGTTAGAACGTGTTTCTCCCTAACCGCGTGCACCGCTTTCGAAAATTCGAATACATAATTCGGACATTGGAATTGTTGTTGTTGCATTTTTGGGGTTTAGGGACACGAAATTTTCGCTCATTTCGCATTGAAAGGCGTGTTTTCTTGGGTGGGTATGACATAAATAAAATACAACACGGTGTATTCCGCATCACCCTCGGTCCCAGCCCTCCCGCGGATCAGATCTCCCTTCGGCCTTCGGGCGATCCGACGCGTGGTCGGGCTGGTACTTCGGGCGATACGGAATACCTCGTGTTATATTCTATATGTACATGTAAGTCCCAAATTAACATGTGTGATGCTATACCAAGCAACATCGTCATTTAACTGTCATGATACTGTATGCACCCTCCATTTGTCTATGATCTAGTATGCGACATCATGTATTATTGTATACAATTGATATATCCCTCGGTTTGATAATTTTTCATTAGGGAACAAACAAAGAAATATCAACAAAGTTATTAAGTTATTATGAGGTGCTAAGTCTGTATTGTCTGAAGTACAGGTATCATCATTTGAAGCGTGCTGGAACAAGCCGCAATTTAATTCCGGAAAAACAATTTAATTCCGGACTCCAGGCCAATAACTCCAGAATGCTTTACTCGATTAAGTTTATATTTGTCATGAGTACATACCAGAGGGTGACAATTATGCGGAACATGTCAATTGGTCCCTAGGGAGTAGTCCAATTATATATAATTATCTATAATTATACATAATGATTTGTTCATTATACATAATTATATATTTCCCTTTTTACCATTATACATAATTATATATAACCCCCTTCCCATTATATATAATGATACATACATTATGTAACCCCTTTCCCCATTATACATAATTATACATAACCCATTTCCCCATTATACATAATTATACATATCAAACCATTATTATACATAACTATATATATTTATTAATAAGGGAATGGTTACCTCCACAAGAAGTGCCCCCAGCAGTCAGACTGTAGCCAGAGTTACACATGCAGATGAAGCTGCCCTGGGAGTTGACACAGCGACCGTTGGCACAGATAGAGCCTTTCTGCTCCTCACACTCATCCAAATCTACAGCATGGGGCACAGATGGTTAAAAAAATCAATCGATAAATCAATCAATCAATCAATCAATCAATCAATCAATCAGTCAATCAATCAATCAATCAATCAATCAAATGGTTTATTTGTAAAAACAAACAAGAACTTGTAGCCGTTGGCTAAATTGTGTCCTGCTGTACAATTTGATTTCTTGACATATTTAACATAACACATTAAAATTGCTAAGTTATTCAATAAAATCCATATCATCATACATTAGATACCTAAAAATAACAGTTTCAAGTTCAACATTAAAACTAACAATTACAGACATATATGAAATACTAACACAATAATATACAGAGTAAAAAATGAGACTAGAGGACAGACTAACCACCCTAGAAGTATGATACACATTATTTGGAGGAATTGTTCAATATGCAAACTAGGTATGGTACTGGAGAGTTCTTATATCTGTTGGTCCTGTATTTAGTAGTTTTTAGCTTCAGAAAAAAGAGTCAGAGATTTGGGAGGTACTGGTAACAATTATCAACATTAAAAGAAAATGTAACAAAACTTGTACATGTATGTGTGATTTCATAATAGTTTAACAGCCTCAGCTCACTTTATCAGTACCCTGACAGTCAATTTGAAATCAAACTCAAGTCAAGACTGATGGGTCTTTAACAACTACAAAGGAAGCTATTTGCTGCTTATGATGCACCTTAGCATTTTAACATTAGTCAAAGGCATGCATATGAGGCATGCAGTTATTAAGGTACAGCAAGGTGGACAAAAATAGTTAGTAAATACATGATACTGTAGTAATACATGTGATAGCTGGAAGGAGACAAATATGTCTTTGAAGGAATCTCAGTTAGACATACATGTAATGCAGGGTTCAAAATACTTTCTTCGAAAGGGTTCGAAATAAGTTGCACACTGGACAACCTATTAGTAAGCAAAAAACAGTAGGTCGTCCATCAATATCTCAGGTTGCTGTAAACACTGGCTGCAAAATGGTTACCAATCGACTCACCTACACAAGCTGGGCTGACAGCGTTGTCTAACCTGTAGCCTCCATCACAGGCACAGGTGTAGGAGCCGTCAGTGTCCACACACCTGCCGTGCAGACACAGGTTGTCGTACTGCCGACACAGGTTAGACTGTTCACCGTTAGGCTCAAAGGGGCGACTTCCGTCAGGGCCGAGGTCAGTTCCATCAGGGGGAAACTGTGGTCCTCCAGGGGTACCTGGAAGTAAGCCTCCTGGTGGTATAGTCCCACCTGTCCCACCAGTACCTGCATAGTGAATTGTAATAATTTCATGTAAATGTTACACGGTCACTGGTTTTTCATTCCAAGAGAATGCTTTTTGATGTAATTATAATAAACACGTTAAGTTACGTTCTAAAAGCTAAATGAGCTACTGTGCAAGAAATCAAAGAAGCATGTACCTGGTCCGCCAGGGACGCCACCAGGAATTGGTACTGGTATCACCCCTGTGTAAAGTCAACAGTCAACATGTCAGCACCTACATGTAGCATCTCATCATTAACATCAACTTTCAGAGTCTCATAATTTTATCCTTGGACTGCCACATTAAAAAAAGGTAAATCTAAAAAGACTGATGCAGCATCTATCCCTGAGGTACATTTTGTATGCACACTTTAGGCCACAGCAAGTAATTTTTATGGATGATCAGTGCAAGCATTAAGTTTCCCCTAATTTTGGGGAAAAAAACAAGAAATTTTGTTGCCCTCTGACAGTGGTCAACATGCCGAAAATAGGAAAAGATGTCTGTTGCCATGCCGGAACGTGGATGGTAGATAAATATGAAAGAGAGGAGACAAGACAAGGCTCTGATTTAATGTTTTGTTTTTGATGCAGTGATATCAATATATTTCATTTCTTTTATATGACATGGTGGCTTTGTATATGTGATGTTCCCACCGAATCAAACCATTGGGTACAATGATTGAAAACTTTTATTTTTCTTGTAATAGTTGTATTGTGTATAGCACAATGTACATGTAGGTATCATTTCTTGTTTAACAAGGTTTATAATGTCAAAATTTTAAAAAAAATACGAATCTTGTTTTTTTTTGCCTGCCTTGTTTTTTTTTGCCCTATCGCATTAGATTTGGAGTCTGCGGGGGATGTCATCCATAAAATTTACTTGCTGTGGCCTGAGATGTCTAGGTGTTCAAGACATTCTTGAGAGCATTTCAATAACACTATTTCTTAATGTGGCCTAGGATATTTGGAAGAATTACATGATTGTATAAGTCTCAGATATGACATTAGATGACATCTTTGCTTTTACGTATTCAAATTCAGTGCAATCAATCATTTTCAATATAGCAGTGGGTAGGGCTCTAGATGTACATGTGCATGCATCTATTAGTTAAATGGACTTTCAACCAGTGTTCTAGCCAGCACCATCTTTCCATCATTTGACAAGATTTTGCTGCCAACGACAAACAAAAATTTGCCCAATCCATCATCTTTGACGAACAAAAATCGTTGTGTAAAGATATGTTATTAAACTAAGTCTACCTGCCAAATTTGCCTCTCTCTCAAAATGTACTCTCCAAGCAGAGGTTTGGGTTTTGGGGATATTTTTAGCGTGTTTTTAGGCTTTTATATCGGGTTTTCTCTTTTGTACTGAATTTTTTTTCCCACCAAACCCAACCTCTGCCGGCAGTCACCCCGGGGAGGGGCAAACCTATCAAGAATCGTGACAGTGCTCCTCCCCGGGAACCATCAAATTATCATTAGGGATATCCATTTTACTGTCACAGTGGTGGATTATCACACTTCTAGCCAGTCAGAAAGGCATTCATTGGGCCACACGCCTCCTGCTGACTGTGTCTATTCATGCGTCTGGTTCACACCTACTTGCAGAACGACTGAAATGTGTTGAACTGATAATAGGTTTATAGCCCATTGAAGCTTTCGACTGCCGGCAGAGGTTGGGTTTGGTGGGAAAAAAAATTCAGTGCAAAAGAGAAACCCCGATAAAAAAGCCTAAAAACACGCTAAAAATATCCCCAAAACCCAAACCTCTGCTTGGAGAGTACTCAAAATGCAGAAACTTGGGAGTTTCAGAAGGTCAATATTTTAAGCAGATCTAGAGGAGCAGATCCCCAAACCCCCTGGGAATGTCACACCTTGAGCCTCCAGCACTCGACATGATATTATGCCACACCGACTTAATTTTTTGGATGACATCCTCTGAAGACCCACAAACAAGTGCGCGCGGGCGAAAAAAAGAAAAATCCGGCCAAAAATAAAAACTCTACTAAACCACAGTAATACAAAGCCGGTATTGTGAATTTGGCGCTTTGCATAGCAACGTATACGACAAGCTGGCACATGCTGGCTTTTTGGGGAGTTTATGAATAGACACTGTACATATATGTACTGAGTTCTTGAGTCGTGGACCTTCGGCAGCCTGGGTGCCGTCCTCCAGAGTTACCACCGGCTTCGTTGTCACTTTATACCACCATGGACTACCCGGGCCTAAAGCCAGGCCAGAGCCTCCGAAGACGTGATCTTTTTTTTTCTTTTTTTGAGATCAGGCGAAAATCAATGCGCGCGTGGATGTCATCCATAAAATTACGTTGGTGTGGCCTTATGTCTAACGAGATGATGGGAAAAAATTCTGGCTGGCTAGAACACTGCTTCAGACAACTTAAGCATTACTGCTAGTGGTAATAATAAGAGACAGAAACTTACCACCATTAATGGGTGGTCTAAACTCATCAGAAAGGCAAAGCTGGATAAACTGATCTGCAGATGAGATAGAAAAAGTTTGTGAGATCATCATTGTATAAAACAGAGCTTCATACATAAAAAAAGTCCCAACCATTATTCCCTTATAATGTTTTTTCCAATGAGTGAATTTCTTTTCTGTTTGGTGTGTTGTATTTTGCAACTTAAGTCGTATGATAATCACAATTGGCACTTAAAAATGGCTACAATATAGAATCAAAATGACCTACGTACTCTCTGAAACCTCAGGACACAGCTGACAAGTTGGGGACCCCCAGCCTCTCCCACCTTGCTCACAACAACAGTCTCGGTACGTGGTGCGGGCGGACAGAGCATTGGTGCACCTTCCTGGGGTGGTGAACTCTCTGTAGCAGACATCCTGTCGTTGATCTGATGGTAAAGTTGTAGGTTAAAGGCCACAACAATTTGATTTGTTGGTTCTCTGATTTTTTTCAGGAAAAATATGAAGCAACAGGCAAAGAAAAAACAGACGTAGGCATCCCCTGATAGCCCCAAAAGCTATGATAGGAGCCATGACATCAACATACAGTCATGTACTAGGCTGGTTTATAATTCAAACAATGGATCTTAAACTTTTTATCAAACCACTGAATTTAAAGATGGAAAAACTGTAACAACTAGAAAGACAAGGAGCTTTCTTCAACTGTTTGGGCCAAAATATGAGTAGTTTGGACTTTTTTTTTAATTTTCAAATCAGAAAAAATGAAGCGGGTAAATCTGAGAACCAACTAATGAAATTGGCGTGGCCTAAAGTTACATGTACATGTAAATGTCTACTATGCAGTTGTATTGTACTAAATTTTCCTGTAATTCTTACATGTATCTCTATCTTTGATTAGAGCTACCAGTACTTTGTTTATCTTTAATTGAGTAACTAGGATTTCAAAGTAAAAAAAGTAAAGACCTGGATAACCTAGTTTGGCATTTGACAAGAAGAGTTGGACTAAATGTCTGTTGCTGGTGATAAAGAATAAGGTCCAGTAGAATTCTACACAGGTAAAGAAAATGTTCAATTGTTTATTTGTTTTGTTTATTTGTTTATTTATTTGACTTCATTAAGATGTGAATTACAATTGCAAGTTTATGTTCATTATATTAGGCCACACCAATTTAATTTCTTGGTTAACGGATTTTCCCGCTTTATTTTTTTCTGTCATTAAAAAAAAAATTCAGAATCAACTGCAAAATGCTCATATTTTGCCCTGAACAGTTTAAAACAGTCCTTCTCTTCCTAGTTGTTACAGTTATTCCACCTTTCAATGCAGTGGTATCATTAAAAGTTCAAAATTCATCGTTTAAATTTTGAACCAGCCTGGTGTGTTGAATTCATGGCTCCTATCGTACCATTTTGGGCCATAATAGGATGCCTAGGCCTGTTTTTATTTTTTATTTTTTCGGCCGCCCGCTCCATTATTTTTCTAGAAAAATCCGTTAACCAAGAAATTAAATTGGTGTGGCCTTAACAGTAACAGTAACCAGAAACATGAAAATTAGGACTGATATTTCTGTATTGGATTTAGAAAATTGCTTACCTATACATTTTGTACCATCAGCATTAATGACAAACCCATTTGGACATGTGCACATGTAGCCTCCCTTTGTGTTTGTACACTCGCCTCCTGCACATAGATTTGGGATGGTGGCACATTCGTTGACATCTGAAAGTGACAAAACATCATTCTAACTTTTTTTCCAAAGTATGATTAGTATCATAGTGATAAGCATTACTGTTACAGTAATTATGTGGCAGACCTGTAGTGCAGAAATTAAAATTTTCAAGATCTGATACATGTAGTGCTGTTAGACCCATTGTTAATAAAGGCCATGTTGATTTGATTATATGGATGACATCCGCGCGCGCATGAATTTTCGGCCGTTTCCAAAAAAAAAAGTTTTCAACCATACTGTAAATCGTACAAAGTTTTCAACCATACTGTAAATCGTACAAAACAGTTGCAAAATGAGCAAAAATATACCGTAAGTTACAAAAAATAATAAATAAAAACTATACCAATGTCGTAGAATGCCGGATGCCAAAATCAAACGAAAAAAGACGAAATTGTAAAGAAATGAACTTGAAGACTAGATTATTCGCCAAACCATATTCTGTGCCATTTGCTCAACCCTCATGACCACGTAGATTTCATAATGAAAAGAACTTTTTTTTTTGCAAAACTTTTTTTTATTTATTCGAACGCGCGCATCAATTTTGGGGTTCTCGGAGGATGTCATCCATATAATCAAATCAACATGGCCTAACATGAAAAAAATCAAAATAAGTGTGATTTTCCTAACAAAACATTCCCAAAGTGGTGATCAAGATAAATAACTTTCAAGCGACATACATGCATCCTCTCTAGAAATGACAGAATGTGTGATTTGCATCTTACCCATTTGATACTTTGTAACTGTCAAACCCCAAGGCCGAAGCCAAACATGCCACAAGGACATTCTTACAAGACTGCTAATCAGTGTATCAATAGTACATTCATCAAGGGGAAAAGCCAGGGGGCAAAACCAATGTTTGACATCTGTGTCTGAAATACCTCAGTCATGTTAGGGGACTTGAAAGGTCAACGCTCCAAATTCCTGAGGTTTACAGTATCAAATTTGTTTGAGTTGGGAGAACTAACTACACTAACAGTAAGTCCTTACACAGGAAACAATTAGCAGAAAAAGAATCATTAAGCACGTTTTGTAGTGGGGCCTTTGATCAGCAAAGAAATAATTCCACTTCCCACAGACAAATGTGAAATGAAGAATGTCTTAAGTGCTGCTTTATTTTAATACTGATATGCAGCTGGTATATCGACAAAGGTGAACTATATCAACCTTTAGTCTGACTGAGGTTTGTCCTAGATAGGATGGAAAGATTAAATACATTGTGTAGGCTGATGATACACAAGATGGAATTACATGTAACTCAAGCCCCTAGGCCACACCAATTTAATTTCTTGGTTAACAGATTTTTCCAGAAAAATAATGGAGCGGGCGGGCGAAAAAAAAAACAGGCCTAGGCATCCTATTATGGCCCAAAATGGTAGGATAGGAGCCATGAAGTCAACACACCAGGTTGGTACAAAAAGTAATTTTTGAACTTTTAATGATAGCATTGCATTGAAAGATGGACGGAATAACTGTAACAACCAGGAAGAAAAGGACTGTTTTCAACTGTTCAGGGCAAAATATGAGCATTTTGCAGTTGATTCTGAATTTTTATTTCTATTTGCAAATCAGAAAAAAATGAAGCGGGCGAATCCGAGAACCAGCAAATTAAATTGACAGGGCCACACATTCAGGACCTTCCCCTGACATTGCCTCAAACACCGGTCTGTAAACCAAGGTTGGCTGAACTTTGCGAGCAGTCTGGACTGTTTAGGCCATGCCGACTTTTCTATATGGATCAAAATGAATTTGAGTTAAATTTGAGCCAAACTTGACCCCAGAACATGCCCTAAACACTCAGCTGACTTACTCCTGAATGGTTGGCTGGTTTTCTGCTGACTGAAGGCTGACCATGGTCAAATCTGCAGACCAACCCTCTAACGTTTTGAACATTTTGAAACATTTGGCCAGTGCAGCCAAATATTAGCCGACCTTGGCTTATTAACACCAGCAGCTGACCTTGCTCCTGGCCTACTCCTAACCATGGTTGCAGGGGAATATATGGGAGGCCATATTTGTAAATGTGTGGAAGGTGTTTAATAGATTCTTTATTGACACAACAAAAAAAGTACAGAGACTTTTGTATGGTATTCTACAACTTAACTAAAGATCTTTACAAAGCTAAATACATTGTGTGGATAACGTCATCTTACGTACAGAGTATATGTATGATGTAACAATAAAGGTTAACTATTCTCTAACATGTGTTCTCTAAGATCGAAACATTCTTTAATGTATTTTCCTATTTGAACACTGTATTGGTTATCTCCCCTGAGAATGTAGTTGCATTTATCTATAGGATCTAACGTATTGAAATCAATTGAACAAGCGAAAAGAAAGGTGAACAGCAATAAGCTTTAGTATAGTGTACAATCCATTAAAAAATGGTGCTCATTTTCAATCATGTTTGGACAAAATGGACAGAACCGTTGGTCATTTGGTATTTTCTTGTATCGACCTATTTCTATGTTTAATTTATGACAACTAATTCTTAATTTAATTGAGGAGCACTCACCCACACACTTCCCATCCAGATCTCTCCTGTAGCCTTCTCCACACTGACAAACAAAGGAGCCCAGATTGTTGATGCACAGGCCCCCCTGACACAGGTTAGGAATGGCCTGGCACTCATCGATGTCTGAAATGAAAAGGAAACCAAAACAATTAAAGACCAGGAGAAGACACAACATTCAAGTCTCTCTGCTCTATTATATCATGGATGTACACAAAGATGACAGAAGCACAATGTTCAATCTTTTTCTTTAAGTTGAATTCACGCAACATGAAAAGAGCTGCATTGAGTTATGTTGAGCTGTGTTATGATTGAAATATAGCCTTTAATGGTTTTGGACCTTACTTGCCAGGAATAAGATACAGAAGTATCAATATGATGACAGACAGATGGCAGCTGTGCAATGTTTTACTGAACACAGTGTACAATGTACATGTATCACCATCATCATCATTAGGTCATATATTACTGTTACAAGTACAATTTCAACAAATGCTCCTGCAGTTCCAGAACAAGCCGCTAGAGGATTCAAACTCATGTCACTTCTTCCCTATTCCAAGAGCTATCTGCCATCCAAAATTCGTGACCCTAGCATGTTCATGTATAATATATCACTTTATATTTGCAGTAACAAAAGTTTATGGTCTGAGAAAAATGGAGCTTTAGATAAAAGTGGACCAAAATGTGGACCTTTGAATTCTTGGGGGGGGGGTGGTCCGAACCCCCCAAAACCCCCTGGCTATATGTAACGGGCATGTTAGCATGTTGTGAGTCAATAACCCTCCACCAACACAAAACAGAGCCTGTGTGTTTACTTTATCAACTCTCCACTATTGTATGCTACAAAGCAAGTCTTTGGCTCTTTCATGTTTGGTGACCTTATCGGAACTTTAACAGAGGCCTAGTACCAAATGGGACTTCCAAGTCATGCAGCACTTGGTGCGGTTTTCTTTCACTGTTGACCAAACAAAGTTAGGGATTCTTATTCCAAGGCCTTCCCAGGGACAGAGTGCCCATTGTTACTGTGACAGAGAGTAGAGGACTCACATTGTATGTCTTTAACCATGGGTTCAAGGTGAGACTGCCAGTGAATTACTCCCAGATGACAAACAATGTCTCCTCTGTCATTAGAAGAAAGGCAGATCTTTAAGGGGGCACCAGCAGTTTCAGAATAAATCTTTGAGGTCACATTGTTCTCTTTTATGAATGTCAAAAATTATTTTCAAAGGATAAAAGCTAAAATGAAGTTTAAGAGCAAGGTTACCCTGAAGAAATATTTTCAACCATTCACACGCAATATCATGTATCATGGACTGTCATTTCTAGAAATGATTAGAGTTGCATGCAGTGAGTAGAATGTCATGACTGTAGTGATGCATACCTTAAAACCCAATTTTAGGTTCAGGTCCGGATTCAAGTCCAGAGGTTTAGGTTCAGTTCCGGACTTGTAAGTCCGGACCTAAACCCATGGCGTATACAAAATTGCATGTTGGCAACCTTGCAATGTTGTCTGAGTGAAACTTTTGCCACATAACATGGAGGCCGGTACTTGATGATGCCCGATGGCAATGTTTTCTTCGTTTTGCAGCAAAGATTTTACAATCTACGGAAGGTTTTAGGTGGTTTGGAAAAAAAGGGGTATGTGAAATGGTCTTTTATGGTAATAAGTCCGGACTCGGTTCTTGACTTTTAGTTTTTTTGGACTTGAACCTGAACATTCTTACAAGTCCGGATCCAAGTCCAGAGAACCGGTATGCATCACTACATGACTGCACCAGTTTATAGGGATTATCAGCTGAAAGGTTAAAAGAAAAGATAGAATTCGAAGCTTTGTTGTTCATGCTGGTCGTATGCGTGCAAGGGCAAACTAAGGGTGTTCTTTCTGTAAGAGCTGCATCAGACCTTTGGTATGCCCTAAGAGCAAAGTTCAACAAACAGTTAGACTTCTTAAGTGGTTTTACCTGTCTGTGTCTCAAGAAGTTAGTGGAGAGAATATATTGCCAGAGAACTGTGGCCATCCACAATAAAAATGAAGTTTCCTTTTAAATAGGCCACATCAATTTGATTTGATGGTGCTCAGATTTTTTGAGAGGGTCAGGGCAAATAAAAACAGACCTAGGCACCCTATGAAGTCATTACCAGGCTTGTTAACATTGCCCACAAAACCGGCAAGGAATTGCTACCACGTAAACCTCGCCGAGCTCAAACTTTTCATCAAACCACTGTATTGATAGATATAAAAACTGTGACAACTGTGGGACTTCCTTCAACTGTTGGGGCCATTCGAGCATTTCAGACACTGAAATGTTTTTTTTTTTGTAAATGAGAAAAAAATGAAGTGGAGGAATCCATGAACCATCAAATTAAATTGGTGTGGCCTTGAAGTGGTACTGTTCCAATGTTCAATGTTCAATGTTACATTGCCACCGCAGATGATTACCTGGATGATCTGTTTTTCTGTCCATGCCATCTTGTTTCACATAACATAGAATGTGAGAAGTTTTTTTCGGTAATGGAGAAATTTTACAAGGATTTTGTGTCATATAACTGTGTCAGTTGTCATATAGGCTATATGGTAATAACGTTAATGCCCCGCCTTATCCTCTGTCTCTATGGTGAGATAATCCCTGGTCAGGTGCGTCAGTTGTCATATAGGCTATATGGTAATAACGTTAATGCCCCGCCTTATCCTCTGTGTCTATGGTGAGATAATCCCTGGTCAGGTGCGATAACTACCGAACAAACCACCAAGTGAGCATAGCGAACATGGTGGTTAATGAGGATTTATCAGGGATTATCTAACCATATACACATCAGGACGGGGCATTAACCCTTAGAATTAACTGCATTTAAGTTTAATTGTTTTTTCCTTTGGTCTAACATTATATCTACTCCAAATGCAAGTGAAAAGTTTGTCTTTGCAGAAAAGCAAAAGTTTTGACCATGAACTGTTACTGTAATTGTTTCTAGCAATTCAGTGGATAGATGAAAAAAAACAACAACATGATTGTTTGCAGATGAGGAAGACCTGGCTTGAGGCCAAAGTTTACCCTAACTCAAGAACCCTGATTGGAAATCCGACAGGTTCCCCAAAATAGACAAAGTGATCCCCCAACTGTAAAATCAACTTCAATTAGACTCTCATACCTCCTGATTGGGTCTTTATAAGGTCAGAGAAAAAGGCCTGCTGTGGTCACCAAGGTCCAGGCAATAGCACAGGCTTGTTTTACATGCTCCTTACTGGAGTGTAATTTTGTTCTTTTTTTGATCAAGCAGGTGTAATGCTAGTGTAGTAGATTTAACCTGGTAAAGCACTTTTTGAAGGTATCTGATGCTTTCTTGTAACAGTCAATCAAGTTTTAAATTTGTTACTCCCTCAACCATTACAACAAAATGGTAACAATAAAAAGAAAAATCAAAGCTTAAAGATGTTGGACCATTATGTTGCTACATAATTTTATGATTGAACATACGATGCTGTGTAAATATAGCTCTTGGTGATTAGACATTACATGTACATGTAAGGGAAATATATGTACAATGTATCTTTAGTTAAGGCCACACCAATTTAATTTGTTGGTTCTCAGATTGGCCTCTTCATTTTTTTCTGATTTGCAAAAAAAAAAAAGATTCTGGTTGTGAATCAACTCAAAAATGCTAATATTTTGCCCCCAAAAGTTGAGGAAATTCCTTTTCTTCCTAGTTGTTACAGTTTTTTTCCATCTATCAATGCAGTGGTTTGATTAAAAGTTCAAAATTTATACTTTAAATTTTAACACAGCCTTTTTTGTTGACTTCATGGCTCATATTGTAACATTTGGGGCTATAATAGGATGCCTAGACCTGTTCTTATTTTTATTTTTTTTCGCCCTGTCGCTTCATATTTTTTCTGAAAAAATCCGAGAACCAACAAATTAAATTGGTGTGGCCTAATAGTGGAGCAATTACAATGTACATGTACGTGTACAAATGATGTACACTACCCTTGAATGCACCACAAATATTTGTTATTTCATAAGACAGCTGACTTTGTCCAGTATTTAACTAAGCACAGCCTCTGAAATCAACTTGAAGGTCTTTTCTGTCACATTCAGCCTGACTATCAACAACTCTTGGCACAAAATGGTTGTAATTAAAGTCAGACACTCCTCCTAAAGTGACCTTGGCATTGGCTGTGGGGTGTCCTTCAACCAGATTAAACCAAACTAACAAAATGTCAGAGACAGTGTCAATATTTTCACAGAAGGTAAGAGACTAAGGCCACACCAATTCAATTTCTTGGTTAACGGATTTTTCTAGAAAAATAATGGAGCGGGCTGGCGAAAAAGGGCATTCTATTATGGACCAAAATGGTACGATAGAAGCCATGAAGTCAACACTCCAGGCTGGTTCAAAATTTAAACAATGAATTTTGAACTTTTAATGATATCATTGCATTGAAAGATAGAATAACTGTTAGTAGCAACTAGGGAAAAAAAGACTGTTTTCAACTGTACAGGGCAAAATATGAGCATTTTGCAGTTGATTCTGAATTTTCATTTTTATTTGCAAATCAGGAAAAAATGAAGCGGGCAAATCCGTTAACCAAGAAATTAAATTGGTGTGGCCTAAGCTCTGTTTTGCAGGTGATAACTACTGGTCAAGGTAACAGACAACAGAGTCATAATTGGTCAAGAAGACAGTAGAGTCACATAACATCCGTGTCCATAATATCACCAGGGTCCATAATATCGCCACCTTGAGAAATAGTGTGCTTTAAGATATCTTTACTGAAACATACTTTTGGTATACACTCCTGCACACCTCAAATGTACATACCTAGGGTATGTTGCAGTAAAAATATCTTTAAGCACACTTTTTCTCAAGGTGGCAATATTATGGACTATGGTGATATTATGGACACAGATGTTACATGTACATATGCTCACAAGCAAGGTCATCACAAAAATAGAAATGTGTCCTCTTTTTTTCTGGGTCAAACAAGAAATAAAAAAATCATTGCCTTTCTGATGAAAAGTAAGATTTACAGATTGGCCAGCTGTCATACAACTAGCAAAAGTTTAAAAGACTTACTAGCTAGTAGTTTTGTTTTGGACAACCCTGAGTGAAATTTAGTTACAATATATAACAAATTTCTTCGACAGTTGCATGTACTAACTGTGGTGTACTAGGGTTAAACCGAGTAGTTTATATGCAAATAATAGTCAAGGGTGTTTTGTGGGTATTGAGACAGGTGAGCTGCAAGGTTACAGTCTTCAGCATATTTGAGGTCATTCGCAACAACTTTCTGGACTTAGGTGCCAGAGTTGAGGCCTTGCTGTCACAGACTCACCAACACAAGGGTTAAAGTCACAATCTGCAAAAAAGTCATATTGTGTTTGCATTGTGTCCTTTATCCATACAGGATTTAAAAAAAGCATGATTATAGACAGGGTTGTCTTCCAGCCTGGACAATTAACACTGTGACCAACAGGTGCTGAAAACTCAAGTACGTGGAGGAGAGGGTTGAGGGACCTCTGACATGCCCTTCTGCCCTTGGACCCCACTACTAGGCCCTGAGGTACAAAAAGGCTCTGAACCCCTGGAACAAGTGTAGCCTGGTATCCAGTCTGATCGTGGTCGGGGCCCTAAGGGCTCTGGCCCGCCCGCCTCACATAGGTGTGTATTTCACGAGAGATTGATTGGGGGAAACCAAATCAAGCATACTATCTCTGATTAGCGTAACACTCCTACCGGGACGGTCTGTTGCACTGGGCGGGGGAAGCTATTAGAGCCCCCGAAGACACAACCTGCCTGAACACCCCAATACCCCCAATCACGATCAGACTGGATACCAGGCTACATGTACAACAAGTGAGGATTTCAAGAGATGTCCCCCCTCTGTCTGGTATTGAAGAATTTCATAACAGGCAGTAACTGAGTAAATATATTCCTTGCAAAAAAAATACTTACTGTCTATCATTCTAGATTTGAGACTAACTTTAGAAAATTTCAGAGCACAACATCATGATTGATTTGATTTGATTTATCATTGACGTTATCAACATTTATGAATGTAAACATTCCTTAGGTTTTAGACCATGTTAGTTTGGATGTGATAGTATATTTTTGAAAACCTATATTTTATGTTTTGATTTGATGATTTAATGCTTTTCGACCTTCTTCACATTGATATGCAAACTCCACTTTCTGTCATCTTTAACTTAAGTTGACATTCTGTTTAACTAATAATGTTATGTTATTAATGATATTTAATTCTTTGAAAAACATCAGAAGGCAATAAGTCTGTCCAGGATAAATAAATAAATAACAAAACCCTCACACATTTTTTTGTTGGTTGCAAAGTGAACGTAAAGTTACATGTATATATTCAATGTAAAGTTATATTCCCCTGGCTTCTCTCCAAAATAATCAGTGATAATATCTACCCATTGCAGGCACAGGTATTTCACATCTGTATCTGTATCTGTATAGCCGGTATAACCGCCCTTCGGCATAACACATCAGCTTCGCAGGCATGTGGCGCGGCCGCAGCTGGCTTTATCACACCAAACGACTTGTTACACTCAATCTTTGCATAATTTAATTGCAGGAGTTGTTTAAAGCTTTCTAGTGATGATGCCCCAACTGTGCTTGATGGTAACGAGTTCCACTCTACGATAGTTTTTGGGAAATACGAGTTTTTGCACACCTTGGTTGACAACTCTGATATTTGAAGGCAATGACCGTTTGAACATCACTCACCTACACAGTCCCCAGACTTCTGGTGCATGAGGTAGCCTCTGCGGCAGGGCTGTGGCTGCGCTGGGCACTGCTCACACGGGTGTCCCCAGGCCCGACCAATGGTGGCACAGCACAGGGTCTTGGTACACACCACACCAGAGAGCTGTCCTTGGCACATCTGGTTTTCCACTTTGGTGAAGCATGGTCCAGTCCTGTAGTCTGAAAATAAAGCAGAGGTATATGAGGGCCTGCAAGGGGGGGTCCCGACAACGCTCTACACTGAATTCGGAAACCCCTCTCGATTACACTTTACGATAAATTCCAAGTGGCTACAACGCATTACGTAGAATAAAAACGCCGAATACGCTCTACGCAAAAATATTAGAGCGGCCCGTCTACGCTCTACGTGGAATTAAAATGGCCGATTACGCTCTACGGAAAAGGGCTTGCGGGCCCCCGTATATGACATCCCGTTGAACTGCAACCATCTGATTCAATATTCAACCAGCGACTAATCATTAAGTTTTAATTGTTCCCAGGCTCATGAAAAATTAGTAGATTCCATTGTCACTTGTTCATCTACTCCTTATTGCTTTCTGTACACTCTATAAAATGTTTCACAGACCAAACCAGTGTTTGCTGACAAATACATGTATAAACTGAAGGCAAATTGCAGATGAAGTCTATCTTATCTGTAACTTTGCCTGTAAAATAGAAGCAATTTACATTACAATTAACCTAAACCAAATCCCTGTACAGAGTTGAAAGAAGTGACGAGAGCAGCCAAGCATCAAAATTGGTCAACACTCACAGGCCATTTCATTAGGTGCAACTTAGTTTGCTGGCCTTGTTACATTGTATATCGTTGTATTCTTAAGACCTGGCGCCGGCTATTTTGGGACAGTTTAACTAGTCCTGGCAATATTACCTATGAGAAATCCCAGTCAAGAATACCGAAACCCTCATGGCAAAGACTGCTTAGGCCACACCGGCTTAATTTTATGGATGACATCCTCTGAAGACCCCCAAACTAGTGCGCGCGGGCGAATAAAATAAAAATCCGGCCAAAAATAAAAATGCTACTAAACCACAGGCATACAAAGGCAATTAGCTGGTATTGTGAATTTGCGGCAGAACATAGCGACATATACGACAAGCAGGCACATTCTGGCTCAGTTTTGCCGATTTATGAATCGACACTGTACGTATGTACTGAGGTCTTGAGTCGTGGAGCTTTGGTAGCCTGGGTGCCGTCCTCCAGAGTTACCACCGGCTCCGTACTGTCGCTATATAGCAAGCTACCATGGACTATCCAGGCCAGAGCCTCGGATGACGTGATCTTTTTTTTTTTAGAACAGACTTAAATCAATGCGCGCATGGATGTCATCCATAAAATTAAATTGGTGTGGCCTTACATGTACATGAGGAAACACTCTTACTATTTACCCAAGGTACTACGCCTTGAATGGTGTTTCCCAGGATTCTTCAAGAAGCCTTTTAAACTGTTGACACTGAATGATGGTGTCAAGAGACAAATCAGTCTACTTAAACCAAACTGTTGGTGCAGCTATGCTTTCTTCTGAAACTAGAAACAGAGCCAATTTGACACTGTAAGCTTCTCTCCTCCAATAACTGATGCCTTACAAGTCACAGATCACACAAATAGTGGACCATGTCAGTCAGCTACATGAAAATGGTGCTTTTCCTCTGTGGGGTGTCAGTTTCCTTCAGGAACAATCACTTACTGTTCTCATTCCTTCCCAAGAACAGAAATATGTCTAAGTTTTTTTAAGCAACAATCTCTTGTAAAAATACGGAAAAGGGAAAAATTGAAGAACAGATGTATAAGGATGCACTGATGCACCAAATGATGATTTGAAAGAAGTGCTCAGAAAGTTGAGGACTAATTAGAAGTGGAAGCCAGGTGCCATTGAATTGCAAATCCCCCCCCCCCCAAGTACAACTGGCTTACCATGACTCATGAGGGCCTGCAAGGGGGAGTAGTGATTACGAATTACGCAAAATTTTCACCACCTATTACGAATTACGTTAAAGTCTCAGAGCTGATTACGACTTTACGATTTGCGGCTAATGTCCAATTACGAATTACGTTGATTTTTGCGGAGGCTGCCTACGAATTACGAAGTCTAAAACGGCCTGATTACGCCTTACGAAAAAGGGCTTGCAGGCCCTCTTACCATGTGCCTCTGATTGGACACAGTGTAAAAGAGATGATCATTGTCATCTTTATGTGTGACATTTCCACTGACCTTTGTTACCGAAGGCTTTAACTGCCCAAAAATGACTGGGCCTCTTTCTGTCCTCATTTTATGGCCATTTACTGTCCAAATTACAATCAGTGTTGCATGTTGTACAATTGTGCCAAACTAGAAGGAAATTCATCTGACTGTGTGGTCTTAACATGCAAAAGGCTGTAAACCCTGGTCCTGTGGTGCCCCACAATTGTTGGGTTTCATAATATTACTGTACCATCCATATAGCACCCTGTATAGGTATGATTTGGGGTATTTTTTGTGCAATGCATCACACTGCAGCGAAATGCAATGAATGCGGAAATTACTACATGTACACCAACCGCGGTGCAAAGAAAGTCAAGGGTCTATGACCTGATTAAGACATGAAATCATTGAAAAAATATTGTGCAAAAAATGGCAACAGGACAAGGTTTAAGAATGCACAAAAGTATCTAAAAAGTAAGCATATTCAAACTGAAAAGTAATTTTTTTCCTTAAACTTTGAAATTTGTAGTGAACAACATGTCCTGCAACTGTTTCAAAATACAATGTGCCATTTTTTGTTGGAAACATTTCAAGACTATACCTTCAGATGTAGCAGTTACGCCTAAAGCAGGGCTACACTACAAGTGATGAAAAAGCCCAGGCCTACTTTTAGTTTTATAGCAAACAAGAATTCCGAGATCTCATACCTCCATGAAATATGATCTTGATATGTAAATGTAAATTTCTTCTTTAATTGTTCAAATGACCTCTGCATTAACATGATATATGCATCGTGATGTATGTTAACTTTTGATTAACTTACAGATGTCCCAAGTATGACATTCTCATCATTCACCATTACGAAATCATAGAATTTTCACATTAATTATGCAAATTAGGTCATCATTTGCATAATTAGTATCTGTTGAAGTTCCGCCTGCCATAGGTTACATAGTATAATGTAAAACACTGTAATTATAGAATTTCCTCATTAATTATGCAAATTAAGTCCTCATTTGCATAATTTACATTTAATTATGTACATCTCTCTCTCAGCTACCTACACACCAAAAATAATGAAAATATGTTGTTCCTGTCTGGACTTATTGGCTTTTAAACATTTCGCCAGAAAGTGCCCTGCAGTTCCAGAACAAGCCCAAACTCATATGACTTCTTCCCAAGCACGAGAGCTACCTTCCATCAAAATTTCATGACCCTAGCATGTCCAGATCGCGAGATATCAAAACCGGAAGTTGCGCTGCAGTACCAAGGGAAGCCACTAGGGGGACAAAAATCTCATCATTTCCAGTTTTCATCACACCCTACCAACACACCAAGTATGAAACCAATCCATCCAGGCGTTCTTGAGTTATCTTGTTGACCAACAGACAGACGGACAGATAAACGCAACTGAAAATATAACCTCCATGACACATTTCATGGAGGTAATAATCATCAGAAATTCTGGTCCCTTGATTTTTGGAAAATGCAACTCAATATTGTCTGGAAAGCTTAGAAAGAAATCTTTATTATTGTATTGTATTGACGAAAGGCATTCCACCCACCTTTCTCACATCTAGGGCCAGAAAACCCGTACACGCAGGCACACCTGTTTGGTCCCACGCATCGCCCACCATTCAGACACCCCTCTGAACACACAGCTGTTGTGAGGAAAAAAAAGGAAACAGTAAGTACAAGTCTGTCACGCAAAAAACTCTCCAAATCTGTCATCAATGTGGTAGTGAACCCGTTGAACAGTTCTAACTACGCTTAGGCCACATCAATTTGATTAAGTGGTTGTTGGATTGCAACGCTTCATTTTTTTTTCAAAATTGCAAAAGAAAAGAAAAATTAGGTTCTGAATCAACACCAAAATGCTCATATGGCCACAACAGTTGAAGGAATTCCCTTCTCTTCACAGTTGTTACAGTTTTTCCATCTATCAGTGCACTAGTTTGATTGAAAGTTTGAAATTCATTGTAGGTAATTCCTGGTATGTTGACTTCATGGCTCCTATCATAACATTTGGGCTATTACAGGATGTCCAGGGCTGTTTTCATTTTTTTTTCACCCTGTCGCTTCATATTTATTCTGAAAAAATCCAAGGCACAACAAATCAAATTGGTGTGACCTTATGTTTCAATTATTAGTAATCCCCTTACTTTTGTGAGTTTCATTTGGTAAACATACATTTTGTGCCCACATGGCCTTTCAGTTTCAGAAATGCAATTTGTATTATTCCGCACATACTTTCTACCCCCTTCGCCACAATACAGCAACACTGTGACGGCTAAATCGTTTCAGACAATTTATGTCAACAAGTTGAAGCAAAAATCTATCCAATTTGACCTTCTGGCAGTATACTTGGCCCCCTGGAAAGTAGACAGTAGAGTTAGGATCATTAAGAGGATGTGATTCCATGTAATTAGGGGGAACTGGATTCAGACATGAGTAATTTGCTCAAGCTGTGATTTTTGGCAGTGTCTCGGCTTGGTCCAAACCTTAAAGTAAGGCCAGACCAATTTAATTTCTTGGTTAACGGATTCGCCCGCTTCATTTTTTCTGATTTGCAAATAAAAATAAAAATTCAGAATGAACTGCAAAATGCTGACATATTTTGCCCTGAACAGTTGAAAACAGTCCTTTTCATCCTAAGCTAGTTGTTACAGTTATTCCATCTTTCAATGGAATGGTATCATTAAAAGTTCAAAATTCATTGTTTAAATTTTGAACCAGCCCGGTGTGTTGACTTCATGGCTCCTATCATACCATTTTGGGCCATAATAGGATGCCTAGGCCATTATTTTTTAGCCCGCCCGCTCCATTATTTTTCTAGAAAAATCCATTAACCAAGAAATTAAATTGGTGTGGCCTAACAGGTCTGAGTAGAGACTACAAAAAATGTGTGTTCATCAGCACTGCTGACAGAAGGGAAATTAAAAGAAAGCTATTTCATTCAAAGACGAATCAATCGCTACTACTGAATTAAATACGGAGATTACTTCTGGACATTTCGAGTGACGCCCATCACTCTTCTTCAGTGTCCCTAAAATGAACTGGGAGAACAAATGGACACTAATCACATGTGAATGAACTGGACAAGTCAGTTGTCACTCAAGCGCGTCAGTTGTCACTCGAAACGTCCGTAATCTCTGTAATTTATCCAGTACATGTAGTAGAGTTTGATTTGCCTTAGAATATTATTTACCTAGCTGGATGTCTAATCTTCATCAACGTATCGAGACTATATCAATTTGAATACTTGCCTATTCAACCGATGATGATGTCATGACTTCCCTCGGTCTGCAGTCATCTAAAACTGCCAGCAAAGTTGCCTTACCGTGTTCCAGTTAGCTTCTTTGGCTGGAAACGGACTTGTCACTAGCATGTTTGCATGTGGGTGATAGACATTGCGTACTCGTACAAGCACTCTAATGCATTCACAATTCCAAGGTAGGGTTTTTTTCATTTTCGTGACACAGGCTTTTAGAATGGTTTTATTTGAGCTTTTTGGCTGTGTTATAGAAAATGTACTATAGCAGTGTGTTACCATTTGGGCATGAGTCATCAGAATGGCATGTATACCAGGTAACCAATAGGCATGCAGCTTTCCTCTATTCTCCTTGCTGATTGGCTGTTCGATATTTGATTGGGTTAACTCAATGAACACCTGTACAAAGCCATGCCATATTGACAGTATGAACTTTATTCAAGTGTTTTGGTGGGTATGTCAAGCTTTCTTGCTCCACCATTGGAATGCGGGGCATATTATAAAACGCTTCTTTTTATCTTGAAAATCAACAGTTTGCATTAATATTATGCAATTAAAAGTCCCAACCAATAATGTAAGGGATAGCGATCCAACTGTTGTCACTTCATACTATAGTTATATCAATGTAAAGCATTGTTCAACCTTGTATTTCTCCTTCTTTCCCTGCCGTGAAATGTGGTGAAGTCATGCTGAATTTGTTCCAAAGCAGATGTCGGCCTTTCTAGTTATGATTACCTTTTAATTTAAACGTGTTGTGTGTTTTGCTGTCTTTTATATCATACTTTTCGTTCCCGCAAACTGCACCCACCTTGGAAATGTGACCCTAGCATTACATAGCCCACACTGTTGCTGTCCATATCATGCTACAAAATGTACATGCTTTATTTGGCCAAAAATATTGTAGAGCGTCCTAGTACTTACGCTGTCCACAGTGAGGCCCGACGAATCCTCCTGGACAGCTACACTTGGATCCACCACAGGTCCCACCGTTAAAGCATCTTCTGGTGCAAAAGCCTATACCAACACCACCAATACCTGATCCACCTGTATTGGAAGGAAGTGCACGATATCTTCCTCACTGTAAGGAATATGGGCAGTGACTTGTGACAACTTACGCTGTCCACAAGGTCTCTTCTTCCGCAGCGGCACAGGTGTAGTACCGGTACTTCCCACCCAGATATAACTACAGACCACTGACATGTGTTTCTGTCCTCTATGTAAGGCCAGACCAGATCATTTTGTTGGTTCACGGATTCATTTTTTTCTGAATTGCAAAAAAAAATCAGACTGTTTATCAAGTCCAAAATGCTCATATTTTGGGTCCAACAATTAAAGGAAGTCCTTTCTCTTCAGAGTTGTTACAGTTTTTCCCTCTATCAGTTTCGTATCTTTTCTGATAAAAATCCGATAACCAAGAAATCAATTTGGTGTGGCCTAATACAAGTAAGTGTGTGTGACCTCCCTCGAGCTGTGATGCCACTCGGGAAAGGTCCAACAACTTACGTTGTCCACAGTGAGCCCCGGTAAAGCCAGAGGGACATCGGCAACGGTTTCCAAAACATGTGGCACCATTTAAACACCGCAATGTACAAACCGACGTGATACTCCACCCTTCTCCAACTGAAAGCAGGAAAAGTGACAAATTTTACAATTTCAGATAATCATGCTTGTTTGCTTGTTTGTTTATTGTTTGTTTGTTTGTTTGTTGCATGATGGCTTTGGCATGTTGTCAATGTAGCAAATCCTTAATGCAAAGCTTGCTTGCAATGGATTTTGATGATTTTATTGCTTTTTGGAAGCGAATGTCAGGACTGAGCGATATTTATTGATGCATACGAAGCGAAATAATGTCAATGCAAACATAGCATCATCTAGGCTACAATGGTACCAATAGTGGTTCAAACCATGCATTAAAAATCATTGGTGTTTTCTGTAAAAATGTTAGAATAATGGTATTTGCACCTACAAACATCTCAGCGAGATTTGTATTTTTCGTGTGGGTTGTAACATTACTAAATGAATGAAAGACCTTTATTGTACATTTATGCCACAACAAGCTAGGTCATGAATAAATTACGTCACATGCTAATGTTTACTGCTACCTACCGAATCCGCCACTATTACAATTTCAACTTCTTCTCGCTTCTTAAAAGGCAGTTGTAGATGTATGAACACATGGAGCTAACAATACAAGGTTTGTCTAATTCCACAATGAATAAGAATTTTTCTGTTCTATCTAAATTTCGAAAATTGGGAAACTTATCTTGAATACAATGTTAAGAGGATATTTAATTTCTATACAATGTGCAGTCAACAATAACATGACATTCATCCTAAATTTTATCAAATCCATTCTAAGTACAGGTAGTATTCGTATAGGAGCCATCTGAAACAGTTTGATTGATATCTGTCAAAAACATACAAGCTACATTAGTTTTCTCCAAGGCTCCGTTTACGTCTGGATGTAAACACTGGGTCTTGAGAAAACACAGTCTTCTGGAACAACTCGCGGCATTTTTCTCTTTCTGACAGGCGTTCACCGGGGTTTGAACCAGGCTCCGACTGATTAATAGTAGTCTGTTTTCTCTCCTCTCGGCCGGAGTTTAGCCGTAAAGCCTCGGTCACAACCCGCCGTACGTACTTTTTGTCCGTACGTTTTTTGGCAGGCTACGTCTGCTACGTTTTTTTCTGAAAACGTGGGGGAGGAGTGGCATCGACGCACGTCACTCACACGGTTTCGCAAGGTGTAAGAGTGTGGTCTGCACGCCACGTCTGGCCGTGAGCGGTTGCGTGCATCGTACGTTGCGCAAGTGGTGAGTTGTACGTGCTTACAACGTACGATCTCTGTGCGATTGCAACTTTACCGTAAGGAGGCCGTACTCACACGTGCGTCTTTCGTGCGGTAAGTACGGAGCACGCGTGTCGCTCGTACTCGCACGCACGGGTGGTGAATCCGCAGACCGCACGCAGAAAAAGTTTTACATGCACTTAAAGTTCTATGGCGTGTCTGCGTGCTCCCAAATCCGTAGGATTCCGTACGGAGGCAGTACTCACCACGCACGGATGCCCTGCGTTTGCCCACGTTTTTGCACGTAGACAGCACGCAGAAGCACGTACGGCGGGTTGTGACCGAAGCTTAATAGTCTGGTAGCAAGGCGGCCATGAATGTCACTAAAGCACTATTGAGTTAATTTTAAGCTAACCAATGATAACCGACAGCTTTTCTTTACAACATTCAAGAACAGTGAAGCTTACTGTCATCCAGTCAATTTCGGGGAAGCAAAACAAAACAAAAATGTTCTGGATGAGGAAATCTGTCTGATAGCCATTTGATAGCTCATTTTGGTGGTCATCGTTTCACACTTTGAAGTGTTTGAAATAGCCCAGAAACAAGTACGCGAAGAGTCCCTTTATTTTTTTAGTGGCGCCAAAAATAGCTAGAAAAATCCTACGATACAAAACTAGCAACCTTTACCCGGGATAGTGTTATTCAACTTACTACTGTAACATTAAAAGAATGACCTGAAATTTGACTTTGAAAATCCAGTTTTACTGCCCTGAAATATACGGTGAAGTACGTCGATGAAGGTTAGACATCGGTGAAGTACACTGCTCAAATTCTCCTACACAGCTGGGCCGTGCCAGTTTTAAATAGAACGGGCCGTCAGCTGACAAAGATCAACACGTCCAGTTGATCCAACAAATTGGCCATTACGGAGGTCATCTATCAGCCAAGTCTGACGTGATATCGACTTTAGCAGGAGTCTTATGGAAATGTCAGATTGCGAAAACGCTGATGCGTCGGACATGATCAGTTCTGATAAAGAAGGCTGAAAAAGAATCTGCCAATATTGCAGTTTGGGCAAAAAAAGAAGACAAGGTACATTTTACTTTAGATTCTCCTTTGTATGCTACGTTTGATCATTTGATTAATCTGTTTTATTTTGTTTAATTTTTATTGTATTCCATGTTGTCCAATGTGTATGTTCTGTTGGGCTACCTTGGAAATCAGTCTTTCAGAGACTGAAGGTACCACCCAACTGTTTTTTTAAGATCAATAAATAAATAAATAAATAAATGATAGCGAGAGAAGCATATTCTCTATTATGTTTTAAATTTTCCCAATTTGGGTATTTGAATAGTACAGAGAAGTTCATATTCCCTGCAGCCTTCGATAAAACAATTCTACCTAATCATACATCCACCTACATGTATACGCAAGAAGCGAGAGGAAGTCGAAAGTACGTATGTATACTAGACGTTTATATATACATCTGTATACATTGTATACGGCTGTTAAAATGTGACTCGTGCTTTAGCCCAGTGGGGCAAAAAATGCACAATAAAGGTCTTCATTCACTTATTCATTAAAAGGTTTTTGTAGGTATCGTTTTGCTGTTTCCTTGCAATCGCGTTGCTTTTATATAATTCACTAATTGTGACCTTCCTAATACGGCACTACCACGTGGGACCACACAGATATTTTCGGCGTCTATCTCAGAAAAGGACCGGAAAGAAGTTCTCAAACAGTTGACTTGTACTAGGACACCTAAACATCATTAAAGTCGTGGTCTAGAGCCGAGTTGTCTTAATTATTCTCACTTTTACACAGTGAGACACTCAAGAACGTTCGTTGATTGAGAAATAACATTTTGTGTATTATAATATAAAACGAGCTCAATGGTGTGTAAATACTAACGCAATTCAGACTTTTGTCTGCTATGTTTGTATTGAAAATAAAGTTTCAAAGTTTCAACATTTCGTTTCTTCTATAGTTCCCGGAATAGTCTGTCTGCACTGTAGTTGAATCGATCTGAACGATACTACAGATATTTTATATCAAACTACATAGAGGGTACCATATTGAGACACGGATTGTAGCTTTGGATGAGTTATATAGTGACTAGTGAAATCCACAATACTCCCCCCAAGATGAGATAAAGCTAATGTTGGCAACTATGCCAGATTCCAGGTGTCATCTTCTCATGGACTGTTGCTGGGGTCAGTCCCACTTAACAATTTTTTTTACAGAGTACAATAGAGTCTACAGTGGGGTAGGACGTCCGTCCAGTTTGGAAATGCTCCTCATCTGTCTCCTCTTCAACCGTCATAAGGCCACACCGACTTAATTTTATGGATGACATCCGCGCGCGCATTGATTTGCACCTGTTCTAAAAAATCACATCCTCCTAGGCTCTGGCCTGGCTCCATGGTAGTTAGCGACATTACGGAGCCAGTGGTAAATCTGGAGGACGGCACCCAGGCTGCCGAAGCTCCACGACGGCAAGATCTCAGTACATACGCACAGTGCCGATTCATAAATTCCGCAAAAAGCCAGCATGTGCCGGCTTGTCGTATACGTCACTATGTACTGCCGCAAATTCAAAATACCAGCTTTGTATTCCTGTGGTTTAGTAGCATCTTTATTTTTGGCCGGAATTTTTTTTATTCGCCCGCGCGCACTAGTTTTGGGGTCTTCAGAGGATGTCATCCATAAAATTAAATCGGTGTGGCCTAAGCGAAGGGAAACACATTGCTACGTTTCCTCTTCTTCCGTTCCAAACACTGACCTCTGACCTGGCCAATGACCTGTTTGTTGATGTCTCTGACCATGGTAACTGGTGTTGGGTGTGTTGCATAATGATGTTGCAATTTTATAGCAGGAGGGATTTATACTGCTGTCTGACCATATATATGAAAGTATTTGAGTAAGAATTAACAGAGCAGACCATATGCGAAGGTAAACAGTATGCATTTGCTTTGCAAATGTTACTTTGTTTACCTTTCTCGCGGCCCCGAAGCAGCGAGACAAAACGAAAACAACCAAACATTTTTGTTAACGATGGCATCATGGCAGTTAGAAACGCAGGTCAACAGTTATGTATGGATAAATTACTTCCAGCAAATGGCATACAAGAGGTCAAGTGACGGATGCTCAACAGACGGGTGTATAATTATAAAAACGAGTGTTGTATTGTTTGTATCATTCTTGTCCAAGAACGTTCATATGCGAAATCATTATCTTCAATTATTAGATGCAGACA